CTCTTCCCTCATCTGGGAAGATTCGTATAGGCTGGGGCTGCCTTGAATGACTGGAGGATGGAACTCTCTGGAGAGTTCTTCAATTTCATGGCTGGCTCCTGGGCCAGAATGACTTATTTATCTGGGAGCATATTGGCATCTCTCCCAATATAGTCAAACAGCCTCTCATGTGCTATTTCCTTCAGGTCTCTCCATCATGGCAACCTTGGGATGATCAGATTTCTTATGTAGCAACCTGGAATTCCACCAGTGAGGATTCTAGAAAACAAGATGGAAGCTGATTGACCTTTTACAATGTAGTCGTGGAAACCACACAACATCATTTCATAGGGGATCAGTCTATGCTTCAGCCCTGTCGGATAGCTAGGGTATGATTGGAGGTCCAGAAATGTTTTAGGTCAGCATACCACAAATTAATTCCCTGTAATAAAATACCTTAGTGAATAGATCAAAATGTATTTGAACATGCCCTTCAGAGGGCACACATCTATCTATCCGTTAACTCATTATATCACAACACCCTTCTCTATGTAGGAGAAATCTTTTTCCTTATTATGCAAACAAAGTAAGCTCAGGGAGTTTAAATCTATTTCTCAGCAACCCACAGTAAGTGGTGGTGTGGCTGGGAACAAAACTCAAGGTTTCTGATTCATGATGCAATCTGTATTGTTTTGTAAAGTGAATGGGGGAAACACATTCACTATGTAACTTTCTCTATGAGAGAGCTCTGTTCACCACTGACAATTTCAGCTCAACTAGAAAACCTGTTTGTGTATGTGTGTATATATAGTAAGTTCTTTTTAATATATGTTTCCTTTGATTAGCTTAGAAAAGTAAAGTTGCATTTCACATTTACATAATGTGGCACTCTCTATGAAAATATTCTTATGATTAAATCCTCCCCTTTTTGTATTAAGAGAAAAAAAGTTCCAGAAAAACTGACTTTCTGGAACCATTAACAGTTATTTACACCTTGATACAAATGAGTTTCTCAGGGTGTCTTGTGGTAAAGTTGTCCATCTCAAAGCTGTCAACCATTGTGTATTCTATTTC